TGTGTCAAACACTTGACCAAAAACTCAAAATTGTGTCAAACACTTGACCAAAAACTCAAAACTGTGTCAAACACTTGACCAAAAACTCAAAACTATGTCAAAAGCTGTTATGCTTGATGAGATTATAAACTATGTACGAGCATTGCAACAAGAAGTCGAGGTAACTAAAGATTGATGTAATAAATCGTATGCAGAAATCGAAGTAAGCAGTAATCGATCGATGATGAAAATCAGTAAATCGATCGATGATGAAGATGAAACAAGTTGTTTAGGAGGAGAGAAACCGGTAGGTCAAGTTTCTTGGAAGCAGTGGATGAGAATGAAAAAGGGAGCAGTTAGGGTTATTAAGATGAGAGAAACCAGTTGTCATTAGGGTATTTTAGTCATTTATACAATTTTAGATAGAATGGATCTTAATTCCATCACTTTTATGAAGGAATGGTGAAATCCTCAAATGAGGTAATGTTTGGAATTCAATTCTATTCCATGGGTAACCAAACATTGGAATGAAATTTGATCAACGTAATTGACCATTCCAATTCCATCAGATTCCGACGAATTCTGACGAACCAAACGCCCCCTAAAAGTCACATAGAATTAGAGAATAAAACCAAATATAAATGGAGTGAAAATTATAAATATACGAAAAAGAAAAGGAATTTGTGTGGCTTCTCTTCTTCATTTGTCCTCGTGTCCGGATGCTCCTCCTCCTATGTCACCTATTCAACTTATTATCCTTTCAAAAAACATCCTTTTATTATTTAGGAACAAAACTCCACCTAATACTCCCCAAGAATGTCACTATGGAAAGCATTCTTGAAATCCAAAGTTGTTGCTAAAAAAGAGGACACATAGGGTTTGATGACTTTATTCAATTATTATCCCCTCCAAGTCAACAAAATTGGTGGCATCATAGATGTCAACGAAAAGAGACTCAGAAACTCATCTATAAACAACTCTAGAAATCGGCAAAAAGACCTTGTACTCATCTGCAAGTCGAAGTGTGACAAGAGAAGAGGTGACGAGAACAGGCGATGATGACAACGAAAACAAGGCTCCGATGTCGACAAGAACAGGGGTGACGCACGCCCTGTTACACTATTATAAAAATATAAGTAGATTGGCCGAAAAAACAAATAAGAGTTAAATAYAAAAGTTCATATTATATTGAAAGTGTTACAAATAAAAGCAGCCAAAAGACAAAGTAATGTCTAATATGTAAACTTCACTTGAATAAAATCATTCTTTTCACATTCTTTGAAACAAAATCTTCAGTAAGCTCTTCATAATCAACTTAAAAAAAACAAAACAGTAAAACATATAAACCAGAAAAGAATAAAGAGTAAAACTGTAAACCAAAAAACAGTCAGGCAACCAGCAAGAAGAACAAAACTGTAAACCAGAAAAGAATAAAGCAGGATGTCTAATGCAGCAACAAGCAACCAACGAGAAGAACATATCCTGTTTTTGGCATTCTTTGTGCGGTTATGCCAAAACATTTCAACATATCACAAATTCACTCTAAAAATAACTGAATAAGCTTCATTAAAAATTTAGAATCTTGTAAGAATTCCTTAATTTAGAGAATCTTGTATACTTTATCTCACCTTTAGGATTTAGGAATTAGTCAATTAGGTTAAAATCGAGTAATCGACCAACCAAGTGACCAACACAGATGAAATTAGAAATAAGCAATCGAGTATTCGAGTAATCGACCAAACCAATCTTGAGATTATAAGATTGAGAATAGGAGAATAGCAATATGAGTAATGAGTATCGAGTAATCGACAAATACTTATACCAAAATCATCTAAAATCTTACCGTTGTTTTTGTTGCCGTTGCAAATCTGAAACCGAATCATTATCCATCTTTGGAGAATTCAATCGACAAGATAGAGAGGAGATAGGAGATCGAGGCGTCTGGTTCGCTCAATCGCTCTCGTTCAAATCGATTTCTCCCGTTCATTGCTGCTACTTACTCGGCCGATGTTAGACTAGGTAGCGTACATTACAAATTTACAATAGGTGGGCCTGTGAAAATTGGGCCTCAACATTTTGGGGGCCCTGATTTAACGGGCTGAAGGACGGGCCTGGGTGACGAGAGCAACGACAATTCAATTAGGGTATTGTGCCGTGTTTTGGAAATTTTTTCCAGAAGAGCGGGGGAGGGGTTTTTGAAATAAATTGTTCAGTTTTCATATCATTAATTCCATGTCATCTTTTCATTTCCATGTCATTATAAAAAAATTACATGTCATTTAGTTGACTGGTTACCTGATTTGTAGGTAAATCATGTACTTAAAAGTTTCATGTTTATATTGAGGTACCAAAATGAAAGTTTTAAAAGTATGTACCCAAAATAGGAATCGGATCAAAGTACGTTACATTTTAATACAATTTGCCCAAAAAAATAATGAAAAAGAATTTAAAACGATATGCTAAGAGGTCTATGCGTGATTTTAAGAAATGGGATACCGAGTGAAGCTGTATGGAAAGGTTTGAGATGTGGTGCACCCGATCAAAACATGATCGTAAAGGTTTTAGGGGATACTGCTTAACTACATTGACTTGCCTATGTCGTAATCCATGTTAAGAGAATATGAAAATCGTCCTAAAAATCGTAATAGCAATTTCTTTTAAGTAAAAGCAATTATGTTTTTAAAGTCTCCAATTTCATGTCTTCCATTAATAGATAAACATTTTTTTAGGTTTACAATCAATATATTGATATATAATGAAGTTTGAATGTGTATGTATATGTGTATAGATATAATAGGCGGAACACGGATCTTATAACCAGGGGCATAACTGATCTTCTATATGATTGGAAACAATTCAGTCTCTAATCTACTTAGGGGTGTTAAAAAAAACCGTTGGACAACTGAAATTAGTCGAACCAAGTTAAATTGGACTGTTTTTGGCGGTTTGAGTAGTCTGACAGTCCGGTCCATCTATAAACATAGGCAAATCGCTCGGTCCAATCTCGTCAGTGGTTTAAACGTTTTTTAAGCGTTTGGACTAAATCGACCGCCAAAAATATACATATGATAATATATTTTTGTTTTTGATGTTGTAGTATTTACTTTCATGTTTTAATTAAAAAAAAGTTCTATCAAACATACTATTTTTTTAGTTTCCATTTCTCAATTGACAGTGCTATCTAAATTGACAAATTTCAAAATCCGTCAAAAATTAAATTCAAAATTCCAAACCGTCTTTAAACTTGCTCAATGTTTGTCCAAAATTCCAACTATTGTTGGTGGATTTGTTTAACATTTTTTCATTTGCACAATGTTTTTTTTAATTCTAGAGATAGACATCTTTTTATAATTTGGTATTTTTTTTAATAATGCTATATTGATAGAAATTTCATTTTAGATATAGATGTCATGTTTTTTAGCTTAAAGCCCATAAGAGGTCCAAACCGCCTAAATCAGACCACCTTTTTTGGTCCAGTTTAATCGGTTTGGTCATTCACTATCAAACCGCTCGGTTTGGATATATCCTAAGCTGCTATTGTGGTTTGGTTTGTAGTTTGAGGAGTTAAACTGTAACACCCCAAAATCCATATATTGCATATAACACATATTCATACATAAAATACATGTTTTCCCCATATAGGTCCATAACACAAGAGACTAAAATATACAGCTCAAAAATTCCAAAGAGTACATGCTCTTGTATCTCCATATCCTTACTTCAAACATGGCTAAATAAGATCTTCATACAGCTTAAGCACATAGGGAAATAATTCACAGAATATTTTTTCCCTTATTATCATTACCTGCACACATATTTTGAAACACAAAAATGAGGGTTAGACATGAATGTCTAGTGAGGTTCCCTTTTTATGTAATGCACGGTGATGAATCACCAAAATATTTATTCCAAATAAGTCATCTTATGTAGCAATGACTGTAATTATATTCTATTTCGGTTCATCGGGCTTCTGGTTCCAAAACCATACTTGGAATATATTTCAATAAACAGGACCAGAGCCCCTCTAGTCTCTCTACCAGAACTTTTGGTTTCTCGACCAGAGCATCTGGTTATACTAACCAGAGCTTCTGGCTCATATAATTTCTTATAATGTTCTTTAGTTAAACTTCCAATCAATAAGATAACATGTTTCATAAAAAGAATAGTTATAAAGAGTTTATGCTCGACCAGAGCCTCTGGTTGTACTAACCAGAGCTTCTGGCTCAGGTAATTACTCATAATATTTCTTATCTTGACTTTGTAAGTAAAGAACTAGCTTTTTCATAACTAAAATGATTAAAAGGGAAAGTTCGTGTTCGACCAGAGCCTCTGGTTGTACTAACCAGAGTTTATGGTTCAACAGACTTGACCAACCAGAGCCTCTGGTTCAACGGGTAAGCCAACCGAGCTCCTCTGGTCTGTGTTTTGTAAAAGATTCTAAGTATAAAATCATTTTTCTTCAAAACTTCTTAAACTACCATTTTTGACACAGAAACTCTTATCAATAGATACAGAGCCTCTAGTCCAATTAGTACCTTTAGGGTGCGTTTGGTAAGCAGACAGGACAGGATGGGACAGGACAGGACAGGACATGACAGCTGTTTAGCGCTTGGTAAGACATTATAGGACTGGACAGAACTGGTTAAAATGACCAATTTACCCCCCGGTGAGTCAATCCTAGAATTCTAACCACCATGATCAAATTAATCTACCATACTTCTAAACCCAAAGACGACATCAGATTCTAAACCCGAGTGTAAGCAACTTCCATTCTTCAAATCTCAAARTAGCAACAGCCGATTCAAGCAAAAAAAGCCCTAAATCGATTCAAACATAGCAACCCCAAATAGCGATTCAGATATAACAAACCCTAAATCGTTCCAAACATAGCAAACAKAGRGCAATCGTGTACCTGATGAAGGAGAAGGTAGGGTGCGATGGAAAGGAACTCGTCGAGATAGGGCTGTCGGACTGCCATCGCCGAGAAGGTAGGGTGCGATGGAAAGGAAATCGTCGGACTGTCGTCACCGTCACCGGTCGAGTAGAAACAGCGTATGAGGTGGAAGCGATGGAGGAGAGGAGCGATGGAGGAGAGGAGAGACGGTGGAAGCGTATGAGGTTTTTGAGGGAAGAAGGGACAGTATGCGTATGAGGTTTTTGAGGGTAAAGTTGTAAAAATTTTCTTGTTCTACTTAGTTGCAGGGGTAAAGGGTGGACTACCGTGTCCCACCCTTGTTCTAGTTAGTTCTAGTTAGTCCCACATAAAGCCACACCAAACATAGGACAAGTGTGTCTTGTCCTGTCCTGTCCCACCCTGTTCCACGTACCAAACGCACCCTTAAGAACATCATATTTCTCAAATCAAATAACTAGAACCCTCTAGTCCAATAGTGAGGACCGACCAGAGCTCTTCTGGTTCCTCATAAAAATGAACATTCTGTTCCAAAACACTTTTAACTAAAATTAATGACCATTGGCCATATTTTCCCGTAACTATAACATCAATACTATTATTTCCAATAAGAACAACATCTCTGAATCCTCAAATCACCAAGAAGAGATAACTCCAATTTGTTGTAATCTTAAAAGATATAATGGCAAGAGTTATACCATGCACACACAACGACCATCCTTATTACATCCATAAATCCCCTTTTTATAGCAACAACTATCCATCACACACAACGACCATCCTTATTTCCTCTAAAATTTTTATGAACTATTTCATCCAATGACAGACTGCAGTCATTTCTGTCAGAGTGAACCTCGTTTATAGTTTTAATCAAAACATAATCTCGAAACATGTTTATATTCAAACCCTTCAATCCACAAAGACAATCTGTTCTATATATGATTTCACGAATCATCCATTCCTTTTTAAATCCTCAAAACAGGATATCATATCCCGAAACTGTTAAAACACAGTTTTTGTTTTAATCTTTTCCAAAACAGATTCAAACTTCCAAATCACAAAATATTTTCTTTAAAACAGTTTTACCAGATTCTTTTTAAATTTCAAACCATCAATGCTCAACAATTTACAAAATCAAACAGTAGATTTAAACTCATAGTTTGTAAATAGGCAGTAACTCAAAAACTCACCTTAGCCAAAGATTCTGCAATTAATAGACATAGGTTCTTTCTTTAAGAACACCTTCAAGAATGCTTTCACCGCCTTTAAATCTCTGTTTCTGTCTTAGATACTTTACTTTTTGTAAAATAGTAAACCGATAAGATTTTTACCTTATCTTCTTTCTTTTATACCTAAAATGAGGCGGTGATGGAATTTTACTAATATAAAAATCCATTGGGCGGTGAGGATAATATTTTTAAAACCAACCATTTCTTAATCATGAAGTTTGAGTTTAAACTATTATATCTTATCACATGTATGCATAATATCCAATTCCACCCATATACATATAATTTATGCAAGTATTTAGCATAATCATGCATGCTATCACATAATTCATAGAATAAACACATAAGGTTACTTTGACCCAGGTTTGCAGAAAACCCGGTTATAACATAAACCACCCAAACTGGACCACGAACACCCCTTATTTATCTACTTGTTCTAGTTTATATGCACGAAATTTCTGTAAAATATGAAATTTTCACGAAGCACAATTTACAAAAAGAACTAATTATATACCATTTTGATGTTTTAAACCGGGCCCTTTAAACAAAAGATCGTTCATTTACCAAAACCAAATATATTGCTTTAACTGTCTCATGATATATTTCTCATATTTTAGAACACCCTAACCCTTAGACTAATATTTCCAGCAAAAATTCGACATGACCCATTCATAAATTCATATTTTACCATTTTTTAACCTGCACATATTTATATATATAACGATTTCCCAAAATGATTTTGTACAAAAGTCAAAGAACAAGGAAAATCTAAGTTTATACGACTAATTACAAAAACTATGATAACATATTTTCTACCAAAATACTATTTGTGCTAATCATCGTCACAAAAGAGATATCATTGCAG